TTTTTTACGACAAACATTGTGCGCATATGCAGTAAATACTAACTTTTCTTATTGAAGATACCCCAACGTCGAGCGCAACGTTATCTTAAATATTAATACCACCACTTTTTTAATGTTGGAGGAGGGCCGAATTTTAAACGTGAATATCTCGAGAACCGGGCATCGGAAAAAAGTTAATTACCTTTTCACTTGTTGTGTTCGGTAAATATAATTTGTTTCTTTTCGAGTTACCTACGTGATTTGATTCTCTTCTACCTACGATTAAGGTTCCGATCTCGATTCCAATTCCGATACACCAAATTTAAAAACTTCGGTTCCGATATAACCACTTTGATTACATCCCTATTGCAAACACAAATAAGTTTGGTTACTGTATCGCACCATGAAGACCAGTATTTTGTACCATATGTATAGGGTGCAACGACTCCATGTGACAGTAAGTGTGTGAAGTGATACATTCATTTACTGTGATGCTCATTACTCTTGCATAATTATTCTGCATATTGCACCTCATTTATGTTCATGAAAATTGAAAATAACCGAAAATCTCCTAACCTGAAATTCAAAACAAAAAAGTTAACCTCAAACAGAATTAGGCGCGTTCAACTATTCAGATAAAGTACACACATAAAAATGAAACGTTGTTGAAATCTATTCATTTCTCGTAATCAAAACTTACAAGTGCATAAATCAATTTTAGCGCAACTAAACGATACAATTGCGGTTTGGATGGCATAAACCAAGGACGTTAAAAATACCAACGTCCTTGGAATAAGCTCAGATAAACATAGTTGCGGAACGCACCCTTTTGCCTGGCCGCTTTTCAGATGTATTTAAACACCTGTCACTATCGAAGTACCATTGTTAATTCTTGTTGTCAAGTGTTGGGGTAAGTGCTAAATTATGTTTTTGTTTAAATGCGGAAAAAAATCATCGTATCACTATCACTTACGTCTTTGATCTTTCTATGCCTACACCACCAATTTATGTAAACGAATGTTGCTTCAAAAGTACTCAATTCAATGAACAAAGGCCGATTCTCACTTTCGTGCAAAGAACCGGCACGGCACATACTCGGCACGGGCAAAGTTTTTTGAGTTCAATTCACACTGCGACACGCTTGCCGCAGGTAAGCAGTTTCTACGTGAGTTTCAACTGTAAAAATGTTCGAAACTTTCACGTTAATTAAAATTGGTCTAATATTAGATGATGAAGAACAAGAAAGTACATATTGCAGAAAAAGAAAAATACGTTTTTGTGTACATAAAATGCATAAGAAGTATCTTTTATGACCGAAATCATTTTCTTGGACACATTCAATCAGCATCTCATCTTGTTCCGCTGAAAAAGTGTTCCTTTGCTGACCCTTCAACCTTTCTTGTACTATGAAAAATGAACGAAAGTCGGCCACCTGCACAGATTGTATTCACACTTGTCGGAACGTGCACGGTACATGCCCGGCAAATATTGTTTCGGAAGAACGCTGCGTGCAAAGGCCGTAGCTTGCCGAGTCGTTGCTCGCATAGTGTGAATTACACCCCAAAAAATTCATAAGATTCAATAATATAGATATTTTGCCGAGTCGGTGCCTTGCCTGTGCCGAGTACGTGCCTTGCACGAAAGTGAGAATCGACCTCAAAGTTCAAAAACAGTATTTGGGTACAATCTAGAATTCATACGAATCCGGTTTTTAAATACATACCGTATGTCCCAGTACTCCCAGGTTGATATAAGTATAACGCATCATTGGCAATCTTTTCACGAAGGATCCACGCGGCCTTTGATATATGTATTGGAGGGTCCGTTAACTTAGCACCACCATTTCAAATTTCTGACTAAACCTAAAGACAGATACGCTAGAATCTCTATAGCTAGCGCCACTTTGAGTTCAGCCAGCGCCATTCTAGATTTTGCAGAAAAGCCCTTGACTTTCGGGGGGCTCCTATGTTAACGCTAGCACCACCATCATTTCCAATCACTTCCAAAAGCTAGCGCTGTGTTCGTCACAAATTTTAGAGCTAGCGTCACCCCCCCCCCCCCCAATAGGGCGGGGGGCAATTTTTCCTAGCATCACCATTTTGTCTTTTCGGGTAAAATTTTTTACGTTTGGATCCTTCGCGAAAAAAATACATTGCCGTTTCCCTATATGGTACTTTTCCACCTGGGACATTGTAAATATACTGTATAAATATACAGTGAGTTTTTCTTGAAAGCGAACATAGCTATGTCACAGATATTTTACGTATATCTGTGGCTATGTCTTCTTTAAAAATACGCGTTTAGGCACGTCACTTAATATTTTTAGATTGGCACTAGTGCGCACTGAATTAAACTGAACTTGATTGGGCGATTTTTGAATTTAAAAGCAAACACAAGCGCCATTTCACATTCATTTGAAAAGCTCATTATAAATTAAGGACGGCTCGTCGGCTCGTGACTAACTTGGTTAGTGCCTTGGTGCGCACATGCGTGTAACGCTTGTTGTGTAAATGAGATTTTAAAATTTTCTTTACCAATAAAAATCTCACTACGCGAATGTTGAATTATCTAATGACCTATACATTCAAACTTGTATTAAAATAGTGATGGAAATAATGTTATTAGTTATGGTATAATAGTAGTAGGGGTTGCCATTTAAAATAACGGAATTACTATCTACTTCCGGTGTTTCCGGAAGTGCGGACATTTTGAAAATATTTTACATAGATTCAGAGTCTCAGAGTAACTCCTAAGTACAAATTTTCAAAAACCTACGTATTTTACTTTCCCAGAAACGTTTAACTAAAGCTCCCAAAAAAACACCCTGTATTGGGACAATGGTTGCCAATGATTTTAAGCTAAGCTTAAGTTAAGCTTAAATGTTTCGCTGCATATACGCCCATTACTGCATTGCCGAATTTTAGTTTTGGATATGACCGCGTTGATTGCGAAACGATTCATTCGTGTAATGAATTGTAGTTTTTTTAACAATTTCAAAGCTAAATAGTGTTGTAGTGTACTTAACCCCCCCCCCCCAGGTCCTACGCTAACTTCACACTACAAGAACACGGAAATAAAATCAACCCGGCAACGTTTAAAAAATGGCCACCCGAATGACTATTCCCTCTAAAACTAAACAAGATCCCGCTTACATTTAAAAAAGTGGCACGTGATAAAACATCTAAGGCAGGGCCCCCTTACGTTAGTTGAAGACAACGCTTTGACCTGAAGCACAGTAGGGAAGGAACGTTAAATAAAACACTGAAATTGTGAAAAGTTTGTTTAATAATGATCGTAATTATTATGATTGTGAAAACCCGGAAATTTAGTTGATGTACATTAATATAAACAAAACAAACAAAGCCAAAAGGTGTCGTACTCTCGCAAAAGTCACTGCCAAGGATAAAAAGAGTACGACGTAAGAAAAACCTTGCAGTTTGATTAAAACAGTCCACAAAGGTAATTAACAAAATATTTTGTAAAAGTTTTAAGCAGTAGTTAACAAAGATAGTAAATGCATATACACAATGTTGGTTACACTCAAGGTTAAAGCAAGTTTTTGGGGACAATGGGTCAGGTAGACGCAGGTACCAAGATTCTGAGAAAGGGTTAAAAGTACAGGATGTGACTCATCTTTGGTGCAATAAGTCCTTTTGTTGAAAGCAAGATGGAAAACTACATGGCCTTGTAGGCAAATTTGACTAAAAACAAAATATGTGGAAATTATTGAATCGCCACTCATTTAACGCACATAGATTCTAAACTGAAGAGCTTTGATTAGCGTAATCTCGCTCCTGCAAGATGGGTAGTCCGCCCCTGGTTTCGGGGTTTCGAACCTACAGTTGGATGTCGAAGACAGTGCACGGAATTAGGTGCCCTAACACATAATTATAGACTACAGTTTCTTTTTCCACCTTCCCGAGACTGCTTCATTCACGGAGAAAATTGTTAGTAACATACAACAGTACATACATTAAACGAATCGGTAATTTCCGCATATTAAAATAAAATGAAAACTTACATGAATGTAACTTCAGGGACAAGACCAAGTAGTCAACATCAATAAACATAAATTAAGCAAACATTACACCAAAAACGTAAACAATTACAAACAATAGCATAACGGTATCACACATATGATTGCATTGCGGTTAAACCAAGTAAATTTCAAAAACAAATATTCAAACACACAACAAATATAAAATGCGGCAAACAAAACACAAATACGATATAAAGAAATGCAAAAATTACTACCTGCATTAAATAACACCAAAATAACAACAAACATTTATGGAGCGAAACGTTCACTACCGCCATTCAAGACAAGATGCCCAACGTAACTCCCGTTCGCGCTTTCTTAGGTGGCGCAGGCAGCTTTTTTTCCCACCTAGAAATTGCATGGTTGCCAACTCTCAAAAATGTATGTATCGTCGTAAGCTGTATATACAGGGTGGAACCTTTCAGTGTTATATAAACAACGTTATTTCGGTCTAAACACCAAAAATAATGACGGGAGGCCCTGTATATGAGAATATTTCAATTTATTAAGTAAATCTGGGAGTTTTGCGAATAAACACAAAATTGGTATATTTTATTTGAAATTGTTTGACTCAGTGTCTATTTTTCCTTTTAGAATTGTTTGTAATTGCGTAATTTTTTTGTTTAAATTTTATCGCTTTTGTAAATTGTGTGTAAATTTGTTTACGCTAAATCTCGGGCAGTGAGTCCTATTCGTTTGTTGAAGACGCAGTACGTCGATTTCAAAATAAAGTGTGCAGAAGAAGTTGAGCAATCCTAATAAAAAATTTATGCGAACGTCAAGTGAAGTAGTAAAAATTTGTGGAAAGTTTTTAAAACGGAAAAGAACTGTAAACAATTTATTTTTTAATTTTTATTATCGACCGCCTAAGTGCGGTGTATTATATCTAAACAAGTTTTGTAAGTTTCCCTTTCTTGCAGAAATTTTGTTTTAATTGTTTCATGTGTTGCGGAATAAATTTGTGTCATTGTGTGTTTATTCGAATCCTTTGTGCGACCCAGAGAGAGTTTTCATGTCAGATTTTTTATTCGTGTCCAAGATTTTTTGCAGGTCTCTATAGTCTTTCGATTTGAGAAATTTTAAGTCAATATTGGAATTCTTTATTCTGGCAGATGCCGGATGTGTGCGAGGAGAGGTTCTAAAATTTTAAGTTTCAATTTTGATTTTTTTTGAGCCAGTTGGACAGGTGGTCTGTGGATGGTGTAGTGACCGCATTCGATTGCACACAGCAATATCTTTATCCAATCAAGTTTTTGTAATGTTTTATATTTGCTCATTTAACCGACTTATTCGTAGCTACGCTAATAAGAAGGTTAGCAATAATGCTGGCTTTACTACCATCAACCTTGTTTGAATGAATATATACGTTACAGATTTCAACTTAGTGGCACTCAGCGAAAGTTTCTCAACATGAGTATGGTGGATCAGTTGTGTACGGATGCGGAAGAACGAGAAGACGATAAGGAGTCGGTAAACAGCTTAGATGGTACAATGGGTTCTGATTTAGTGCTCAGTAATTCAATGTGTAGTTCAAGAAATGAAACTCTAGAGCTCTCATTGACATTTGTTAGCAGCACAGACGCTAACGAAACCCGAAACTGTTTTAGTCCCAACGAAAGCGACGAAACAACTCATAATATTCTTTCCGTTTGTGATGCCGTGGATGTTAGTATATATAGGGAAGCTGTTTCACAAGAAAGTCCAAACAGTAGCTTCATCGGCTTTTTACATAAGCAGTTGACCGCATCAGGTTTAGACTTGGTGGGTGATTTACACCAATCCTATTGTTCGAATGATTCTAAACTAGTTTGGGAACAAAACGTGGACGAAACAGCACGTGAAACTTATTTCGCCCAACTCAATGAAAACGATGGACTAGAAGGTATAGAAGAATTGTTGGAGGAATCGCGGGAAGGTGGGGAGTCGCCCACACAATTTGACAAGAACGAAAGCATAATTGATCAAGGTAATGCTGACGTGCTTTTGAATTCATCCAGTCATACGCAACCTCCTACAAGCGTCATCTGTAAGAAACGTCGCTCCAATTTTCCAATGGAACGGCCCCCCTCACGACTTCGCATTGAAAATGAAGCAAATATGCAGTGGATGAAACCTGCCGAAACTAGTCAATACACTCACTCCCAGGCATCTCATTCTCAATTGAATCCAAATACTAGATCACAAAGCACGATACTGCTCGCTTCACAACTAGTATTAGAAAACCAATCAATTACAAACGGAATCGAACTTGTTGGTACTGCAAACTTCCAAACTGCCGAAGATAACCAAACTTTGGGAATTGATACAAATAAACAGTCCCAGGGATTCGGCTCTCAAGTGTTGGAAGAATCGCTCAATTTTTTGGACCCGGTTATGTATCCAAACGAAAATACGGAGAATTATAATCTAGACGTATCTGTTAATAGATCTCCATCACTTCTTCGTGAAAATCGAGATATTTCCCCTCACGAATCTTTTAACATAGTAAATTTTGATGCGAGTAGAAGCAGCACGCCTAGACATCATTCAATTGACGATTACGAACTACTCAATCGAACAGATGCAACTATGGAGATTATAAATTTACCATTGCAAGAAACCAGTTTACGCGATGGTAATTTGAACATACTCACCGGCAAAAACTCGCCATTATCGACCGGTTCAAATGAAAATCTTACCGACCCACAGAAACGAATAAGAAGTGCCCTGAATCGTATAACCATGGATAAGGAGTTGGTGTACAAAGGTCCGAGAGGCCTGTACGGCGAAAAAATTGAAGAGAAGAATCAGAGACTAATACAAGAAGTAGAAAATTTTTTTTACAAGATGCTGGTAAAAGCTGTCAATAAAAAGCCGTTCATGATGAATGTTCAACTATGTAATTTAGGAAACTGCACATATGAGAATGGAATGTAAGTTTTTTTTTAAAATTCTTATATGTTTATTGATATAGCGCGCTCCAATAAACCAGCAGCATAGTTGGCAATGGAAGTTTAATTGTGAACATACCACGTAACCAGAGCTGGGTACGCTGCTCGCGAGCGTTTCGCTCGGAAAAGCGCTCCAAACAGAAAAAGCGCTCGCGAGCACTTTTCGGAGCGGCCGCTGTTGGTGCTCGATAATCGAGCGTTTACTCAAAGTGCTTGGCGCTCGCGAGCGTTTTTTCTGCTCCCGAGCGCTTTTTCGCTCTTGACCGTTTTTTTTGCTCACGAGCACTTTTCCCGGAGCGCAATAGGCTTCAACTGAACATTTGCTTTTAGAGTGGAGTTGAAGAAATTTGATAAGTGCATCTTTCAACAGATGTGTACTTGGTCCAGACCTAGAAGGCGATTCAACATCATAGTGTACCTTCTTGCAAGAATGTATGCCTTATGTATACGTGGTTCTGAATGCACTATAAGGTAACAATTGCCAACCGTTAGTTACCACTATTTTTGTCCTTTGCAGAGAAATTTACTATTGTTTAAAGGAATATATGCAATGCCAACGTGAGATCGAAGACGCCGTGAACATTATAAGCTGCTTTTTGGAAATAGAGCATTGGTATCTTCCGATTATGTCTACTAGTAAGGGCTTAGCACTTGGTGCGCTTACAGTTTACACGTCAGCAGGGGAAGTTATAAATTTTAACGTCGCAGGAGGTAAACAGCTAAGTGATTGCTTATTGCATTAACAAACAGGTGCCTTTTACTAGGACTGCTCATTCCGCAAAAGTTAATATCAGTAACAAAAATAGAAAGCGATGCGCACTGTATACTGGTTGTAGAAAAAGATACGATTTTCAAAAAGCTGGCCGATGAGAATTTTTCCAACAAATTAACAAGGCCCTTTATCCTCGTCACGGTATGTTGATACCCTTCAACCCCATGTAAGAGAAGGTTTTTAGGGAAAAGGATTTCCGGATATTAATACGCGACTTTTCTTAAGGATATTGAGAGATCACTTACGGATTCCGATTTTTATTTTAGTGGATGCCGATCCGTGGGGAATAGATATTATGCTTACCTATAGACATGGTTCAGTTGTAATGCAATAGTTGTTCCAGAAATGTTAGGTATACTAACCGCTTTTTTTTAGCGAACAGCAAATTTATCTGAAGTGCTAGCGTTATCCAACATAAAATGGCTGGGTGTTTTGCCCAGCGAAATTGTCACTCTAGGAATCGCGCATACTTCTCTTACGGAGCGCGATAAAGGCAAGATAAGGAGTATGTTAAGACGGCCTTACGTTGCGGATCAAATTAAGGAGGAGTTGAACGTTCTACTAGAGAACGATTTTAAGGCTGGAATTGAGGGAGTCATAAAAACGCATACTTACTTAACCAATTTCTACCTAACTCACAAATTTGCCAACCGAGATTATTTGTAGAAATTTTCGTGTTCCTAATTTTAAAAGACTGTGAATTGTGTAGGTAAACACGCTGGAATTAAATTTTTTTCTTAGGCAAAAAAAATATATATTTTATTCAAGCCCCTTCCGGATTGTGTCTCCCGTGACACGTCTCAACCCACAAAAGAACCGCCATAATGTATCACAAGTCACAACGTAAAAGTCCTATTTGTATCACCCAGCCCGAGCAGGCTGTTAACCGACATTTGAAAGTGGCGCGAAACGCTAGAGGTGCTTGTAGAGAGAGTACAGGCTGTTACCAACTGTAAGTATAGAGTAGGTAAGTTAAGATTGCAGTGCTGGGTTGGGGACCCTTAAGATCATCACACTGTTGAACGGCTATCCAGATTTCTAGTAAAAACTCCAACGCTGCACAAGAAGTAGGGGAATTACTTCTGCGCATGTGCGCGCACAGCCTTTGAAATGCTTAATTTAATCAATCGAGTTGCATTTATTAAAAGGCGCTACTGTTAAAATGTCAGTAAAAGCAGTCCACAAATAAGAGCTACTTCTGCGAATGCGCGCATGCAGCTAATATTTAATATACCTAATCGATTGATTTGCGTTTATTAAAAGTTATTTATATTTAGTAAAGGGTGCTATTGTTAAATTGTCAATAAGATCAGTCCATTAATAAGAAAGTTCCCTCTGCGCAGGCGCTAAAGGATATGACCCACGGGTCTTAAAATTAATAGGTGTCGTCTCCAACCCAGAGTTGAACTGGGTCACCTGGGTCACTAAATTAAACTGGGTCGCTGGGTCACGTCATACTCCTTTCAGTTAGACCCAGTTTGACCCAGGACCCCCCTTACGTAAGTTGTAGACAACGCTTTGACCTGAAGCACACTAGGGAAGGAACGTAAAATAAAACACTCAAATTGTGAAAAGTTTGTTTAATAATGATCGCAATTATTATTGATTGTAAAAGCTCGGAAATTTAAGTCCAAATAAATTACATTGCAAAAATAAACTAGTTCACTCAATAAAAATAGAAATAGGCTGGGGAAAAAAGAATTTTCCAATAAAAAAACCAGCCGTCAAATTAATATCAAATTGTGTTGTAAAATTAATTGTTTGTAATGATGTGAATGCGTAACATAAAATTATAACATCACAAAAAGTAGGAGGTAAACTTCAAGAGGTAACTTATAGGTTAAAAAAAAGTTTTGGGAATTATGGGTCAGGTAAGCAGGAACCAATTAGATTCTCAGAAAGGGTGAAACACACAGGACGTGACCCATCTTTGGTGTAATAAAGTCCTTTTGTTAAAAGCAAGATGGAAAATTACATGGCCTTGTAGGCAAATTTAATTAATAACAAGATATGTGGAAATTATTGAATCGCCACTCATTTATCATACATAGATTCTAAACTGAAGAGCTTTGATTAGCGTAATCCCGCTCCTACAAGATAGGTAGCCCGCCCCTGGTTTCGGGATTTCGAGCCTACAGTTGAATGTCGAGGACAATCACGGAATTAGGTGTCGTACTTCAAATGGTTACAGTTTTTACCACCCCCGTGACTGCTTCATTCACGGAGAAAATTGTTAGTAACAAACAACAAGTCACTACATACATCAAACGAATCTGTAATTTCCACATATTAAAATAAGATTATCAAAACTTATATGAATGTTACTTCAGGGACAAGACCAAGTAATCAATAAACATAAATTAAGCAAGCATTACACCAAAAACGTAAACAATTACAAACAATAGCATAGTGGTATCACACATTTGATTCTGCATTGCGGTTAAACCAAGTAAATTTCAAAAACAAAGATTTAAACACACAAAAAACATAAAATGCGGCATACAAAACACAAATACGATATAAAGAAATGCAAAAATTACTACCTGCATTAAATATCACAAAATAACAACAAAAAATTACGGAGCGACGCGTTCACGACTGCCATTCAAGACAAGATACTAAACGTAACCAACGTTCGTGCTTTTTAGATGGCGCAGGCAGCTTTTTCCCACCTAGAAATGGCATGGTTGCCAACTCTCAAAAATGTATGTATCATCGCAAGTTGTATATACAGGGTGGAACCTTTCAGTTTCAATCTAGCGCCTAGCTTCTAATGATTGCACGACATTATTTAAAAGATGTAGTTGTCACTAGTGGGTTGCAAGTGTAGGTTTCATCACAAGCTGTGCTATGGGATCGCCACTTCTGAATCTTCTGATATTTATAAATTAAATTATGTCACCTTTTCTACATGATGAAACAATTCTAGGTACATATATAGGTTTTCAAAACATTTACGGGTAGGTGATACGACAACAACTGAACTAATATGTACCTAATTTAATTTCTTTATGGCAGTACAATTGAAGTATAACAGTTATTGTAGTTGTGGATTTTAGTTACCTACATACTTTAACTGTAACGAAACACCCGTTTTCCGCCCTGAAGTTAATACCCGAAGTTATGACCGCACCGTACAGCTGTACATCAGTCGTCCAGCTTTGCCGAACACCCGGTATCGAGAAGCGTTGTAAGTTTGGTGCTTTGTTACCAAAAGGTTTATGAAGTTGATTATTTGCTCGAGGAGTAATTAGTTGTCTATGTTTACATTTTTATGTAATTGTTTATTGTACCGCCGCTAAGCACGTAAGTTTTGTAATGAATTTATCAGGATTCAAACCGTTCAAGGAGGAATATTTGGATTGTTTTTTTTTGCAGTCGCCGAATGCTCTCTTTTCAGGGAAGAAGGAGGTGGGAGTGAGTTCTGTATGTACGACCATTTTCCGTAATTTTCTTTTGTCTTTGAAATTAATTTCTCCGTAACGCTTTTGCAAATTGTGCATTGTGAACAGATTAGTAATTTCAAGTTGCCGTTTGAGCCAGAGCTTTGCTTTTCTTCCGCTAGGAAATTTACCGGTTGGACTTTAATTTTGTTTTAGTTAGCGGAGTGGCTGCCGACATCTGCTGGATCCGGTCGCTCCCTGGATACCGTTTCTCCGGCTGAGTGTACATCCGAGGCTACCGAGACCGCCCGCCAATCCGTGGCTACCGCCAACCTAGACTAGGCGCGCGATTTTCGCTTGGTGCAGTGCCGTTCCGTAGAACGTCCCGGCCTGGTCATGCAATCATAATACCCGGCCCAAAGAATTGAAAATACTCATACTCATATTTACAAAAAAAAAATATTCTTTTATTAGTCCACTAAAAGTCTACATTCTACAACAATGAATTCATTAATTAGCGTTTAGAAAGCAGGTAGAGTGGGTAAAGCTAAAGATAGGATGGCTTGCAGCCTTGCACTTGCGTTGTGCAGTGAGAACAATGGTAGATTTGTCGGTGACTCCAAAAAACATTTTACCTCAGTCAGACTGAATAAACAGACTATAAAGTGCCTCGTTTATTATTTTTTCGTATGTGATTCCCGGCCCGGTCAACCACTGTCCTTTCATGACCTCGACGGGACGGTACTGGCTTGGTGACGCCCATATAAGTCCGTCCGTCCACTCGTTTCCTGCCTCCGTTTCGCCAGCCTTCCGCCGACAACTGGCTGTCGCTGACTCCCACTGCTGTATTTACTTACCATAATTTGTTTATTTATATCTTTAATTAAATTGCAATGATTTTTCCACTATAATGACTATTTAATCCCTCAAGCTCACCCATTGAGCGCGAGCCCAAAATTCGTCTCATAACCTGCTCCTTGCTAGTTCTCTGACCATTTTTTATATGTAAATGTAATAATTATAAATAAAACATAATTTTACTAAAAAAGATTTTTTGCAAAGAATGAAAAAAGTGAACTTCGATATCAAATCTTTCGGGATTCAATATTTCATTATTTACAGTTATTGATTTTATTGCGTCAACCATGTGGCAAGTAGGCTATGGAAATTAATATTGTTAACTCTACTTAATTAAACAATATTTTTCATTAAGCAATGGACACTAGATTCAGGCTGAATATTTATAACAAACTAATGGCGTATAAAACAATTGAAATGATCCTCAGTTCTAAAACCCGCAATATACGCTTCAATTTTTACATGTAGGTAAAACCCTTCCCTTTCAAAATTCGTTTTCGCATACGAATTTTGCTTTTCAGTCAAAGAAATTGTCATATCAACACAAAATTTAACAAACTCTCTTTTTTAACAGAAATACACGGAGCGTGCAGCGGAAGACGCTTGGCTTGATATCCAAGAGCATCCGGTGTTTTCACCAGACGGAAACAGTTTTCTCCTTTTGGCGCCGGTCCAAGAAGGAAGCATAGAAACGTACACTCACATTAAGCACGTCACGTTAGCGCAACAACGCATCGCGGTGTTAAGTCACGGCCGTTTGGAGGTAACTAAAATATTAGGGTGGAATTCTTTCAATCATACAATGTAAGTAGGCACCAGTGTTTCAATTGTTACCTGCTCAAATTTTTAGATATTATTTGGGCACGCAAGAGAATAAACCGGGGCAACGTCACCTTTACGTTATTCGAAATCCTTCGAGAGAGGAGGATAGCAGAAGGATCGCACCTGAGTGTATAACGTGCGATTTAGGGAAATTGTGGAGTACCTAGTAGATATTACTACAGCAACTGCACTCATTTTAGCGCATCGGTAATCGGTAGCTCGGATAATCCAAATTACTCACAGCATGCTTGCAGATAAGTCCTAGTAGTAATACGACGGACATGCTATATTACGTCCTTGTATGCGAAGGACCAGGGCTTCCATTAGCAGGAGTGCACTCTGCAAAAACTAACAAATTATTAAGGCTACTGTACGATACGAGGCCCCAGCAAGGGCCACTTTTGAGTCAATTTGCTTTACCAAAGCAGTGGTCTTTTGAGGTGCCTTTGTCCCAAGGTAGTAAAGCTCAGGTTCAACTTTTACTTCCTCCAAGTTGGAGACCGGAACTACGAGATGCCGCATATCCCGTTGTTGTAGAAGTGTAAGTTAATTGTTGCAATCTTGATCGAAGATCTTATAAGTGTATTTGTTTAGCAATGGAAGACCTGGTAGTAAGGCGGTTACGGAAAAGTTTCGAATTGATTGGGGGACGTATATGTCGAGCCACTGCGATGTCGTATACGTTCGTTTAGATGTTCGAGGCTCCTTAGGACAAAGTAACCATGCACTATACCGCCATATAGGTGGTATAGAGGTGCTGGATCAAGTTTTTGTTTTGAAGTACCTACTCGAAACCCTCACTTTTCTTGATGAAACTAGAGTAGGATTATGGGGATGGGGTTATGGTGGTTATGTCACTTCGATGGTTCTAGGTTCTCAACAAAAAGTGTTTAAATGTGGTATTGCAGTTAGTCCTATTGCTGATTGGCTTTATTACAGTAAGTAATTTAGTAGCGTGTAGATTAGTAAGTACGTACGTGCTCGCCTTTATTGATAATAATCTCTCTAGATAGCTATTCTACTAGCACTTAAGCACATCTTATATTATAACGAACAGATCATTGGTTTCAGTTGATAGTCGAGGCGGTACACATAAGAAACGGGGACTTTACAACCCTTTTAAAAACTTTTCCCGCATGCTTCAATACAAAATATTCTCGCCCCGCGTCATCGATTTGTGAATTAATTTCAGACAAGGTTTCTACAAGATACCTATAGACCACAGCAAAACCTAATAAATGTGCGAAATTGATTCACAAATCGATTACGATGGACCCTCTATGTTTTTAAGCTTTTCCAATACCATTGTAATAGTATATTTCATTACGAGTCCGGAAAGCAGGCTTTTTCCGTGCGCGCGTGACAAATTCCCAAAGCATTTCTGGACATGTAATGAACGATATTTTTTATTATACTTTTTTTAAATCGATAACAAAAAACAACAAACTCGCCAACATTTTTATTTTGTAACAGTTATAGAAAATGCGTTTTCATGGTTACTCTCAAATCATTTCAAAGGCGATTTGTTTAATTAGTTTATTTCAGATAAGGTTGACCACGATACACTTACAAACGGTATGCTCATTATTTTTCTCAAACGCGTTTACTACTGCGCATTACGTCACGTGCGAACGTGTGGCGCCAAAATTCAAATGTTTACGCACGCTTCAGTACATTTGTCACGCGTGACAGTTTGCAACGTATCACTTGTAGTTACAAGCGTTAGTTTGTTGATAACTATTTAATTGGTAGTAAATAGTCCAAAATGCCAGGTTGTGTAGTGGCTCAATGCGGTAATTGTAATAGGAAAACGAAAGGAACGGCAATAAAATACTTTCGATTTCCGAAAATGGAAGAATTTTCTCAACAATTTGTTGCATGTCGTCGTAAGGACAAAATTAACTTGAAAAATGGTGTTGCATTAATATTATATGGTATTTAAGTCTAACATTGTTGTTTAATTTTATAGCCTGTATTTGTTCTGAACATTTTGAAGCCAGTTGTTTTGAAGTACCGCTAAGAGAAAGACTTCTTAATTATACTTTTAAAAACAGCCGTCATTTGAAACCTGATGCTTTACCCACTTTAAAATTACCATGCAATAATGAAAATCAAAATAAAAGGAAAGCGGAGGAGAGATTAGATTTTTTGACAAAAAGAAGTCGTAAAAGTGTCGTTAATGATTTGCTTCAAGAAAATGTTCCAGAAACTGCTATTATGTCTGAAGATATCGTACCTGAACCTGTTTTGAATGATGTGGACAATACTGAAACAAATCCTGTAGAAAGAGACGATTTAACATTAAAGTTAAAAAAGTAAGCATCAGTAACCCTGCATATTTATTTTTCTATATATGTACATTATTTTATTTTAACTATATTGGTTTTAGAGCACAAAATGAAATACAGAAGCTGAAAGAAAAGTTGAAAGCCGCTGAAAATAAAATTCAAAATTATAAAGATATTTTAGCCACTGTTTTTACGGAGGGTCAAATTAAGAAGCTGCTGAGTCCTAACAAATTAAAAAAAGTTCATTGGTTTGCAGACGATATTGCATCTGCTGTTTCATTAAGAAGTGTAAGTGCTTGTTCACAATGGACATAAGCGTTACAAAAACATAACAGATACATAAAACATAATATTGACATAAGACATAATTTTACGCAGGTGGAGAAAGTGTTCACAGTGACCGTAAGATTATAATTATCTGCGTAGGCGCAAATCAAAACGTCAAGAACATAACAATATTATTTGTGGTGTATATGTGTGTGCCACTGAGATGGAAATTTCAACAGTTTTATTGCTTTTACTGTTATGAAGACACAGAGACAAAGTTGTTACAAAACAAAAACGGCGTTGGTGGGTCAGACCTATAAATCGAGACCGAGAGAAAAGGGGAGAATTTAAGAATTTAAGCTTGTCTAGAAATGAAGCTGCATGATGAAGAATATGGTTTTTTTCATACACCAGGATTATTCGATCACCTATTAACCTTATATCTTTTGTCCCCTTTATTAAACAATTAGGGTTTTAATCGCACCAAACTAATTAATAATTCGACGTCTATACGTTTTCCATGTCGTGTTGGATATAATCAAAAAACAACACACGAAGGACCAAACCACACCAAACTATGAAATAATGCGCCAAAAACTATGTACCAATTTAAAAATAACCAGATTATGTTGGCAGAAGAGATGTCATCGACGTTAGACGTAGTAACTGAAATGTCAAACCAACAGCTGCGTCTTTGTACCCAACAGAAATACACCTAATTCCACTAGATTTTTCATAAAACCTACGTAAAGTTGAAACCGACCCAACTTTATGTATTTTTTATGTACCGTTTCGGTAGGACATAAAACATACGCAAACATTTACAAAAAAATAAAAATTATGTAATCATTGTGATCACATACGTTGGTTTGCTACTATTCAACATTATGAATTATGTATCTGTTATGTTTTTGTTATGCTTATGTCCATTGTGAACAAGCACTAAGTCCAAAGGCGTATCGTTATCTGCGAGCGCATAATTATCCTTTACCTGGTATGTCTACATTAAGAAAATGGGTATCAAATTTTGATGTAAATCAAGGAGTATTGAAAAGTGTTCTGCAGTTAATGGTAAAAAGGTCTTACGAGTTCAGTAATATCGACCGGCTCTGTATTATATCATTTGATGAAATGTATATTTCCAATAAAATGGAAATTGATAAAAAGGAAGAGCAAAAAGTAGGTTCGCACAAATCCTGCCAAACTGTTATTGTACGAGGCCTGACTGCACATTGGAAACAACCGATTTATTACGAGTATGATCAACCAATGACTAGAGGTGTTCTTGAAAATATTATTTCCGAGTTATATAAATGAAACTTTACTGTTGTGGGAATTGTTAGTGACATGGGTACTAGCAATGTGTCATTATGGTCGCAGTTAGATGTAGGCCATAACAAAAATTGTTTCTTTCGACACCCTGAGAACGATTGTTTAAAAGTATTTGTGTATGCAGACGTACCTCATCTGCTAAAACTTGCAAGAAACCACCTTATTGACCAAGGCTTTGTATTCGAAAATAGTATAATCAATAAGGATTATTTTAACAGTTTATTAAACATTTCAACTTCTGAACTTACTTTTGTTCATAAAATAACTCGACAACATCTTGAAGTAAAAGGATCTATGAGGCAAAGGGTTCGACTTGCTGCTGAACTATTGTCAAATACTGTCGCCATAGCAATGCGGTACTGTGGAGAGCATGGTTTGATGCCTAAAAATAGCTATTGGAATAGGGCAGCTGAAATAGTCCAGTTATTTAATGATTGGTTTGATTTGATGAATTCAAGGTCCAAATATAATAATAGTTGTCCAGGTAAAAATGCATTTGGTACTGATATTGATAATCAAAAAAAAGTACTGAATAAGATGTCAGAAATGATAAATACAATGAGAATTGGGAAACATGAAAAACTTATTCCATTTCAAAAAGGAATATTGTTAACAAACAGATCATTGGCAGAAATGTTTGATTATTTACAAGAGGAATATAGGGTTGAGTATATTTTAACATCCCGCCTTAACCAAGATGTTCTAGAAAATTTTTTTTCTTACATTAGGGGTATGGGTGGAGCAAATGACCACCCTTCTCCTCTCGACTTTAAATATCGTTTGAGATGGTTTATAATAGGTAAGCATTCGGCAGCAGTCTTTACAGAAAATAGAAACACCGAGGAAAATAATGAAAAATGTTTACTTAATATTACAGCAAGATCGGTCAATGCCGTCAAAAATAACACATTATCTAATGACGACACATGTTTAACGCAAAAATTAGTTTCTTCAGTTAAATTAACTAACAGTTTGCAGGAGCAGGGTGACTGCGAAGATGACACATTTGTTTCCAAGTTATTTGAGGAACCGCAATACTTGGATGAAGAAGCTGTTGACGAAGAAATGCTGCAACTCATAGACAATTTTGAAGTCAAGCAAAAAGTAAACGATGAATCTTTAAAATATATTGCAGGCTACGTAGCTTACAGGTACCAAAATAAATATTCTTTGGGTGTTCCTACACAAAATGTACAACCGGGTAACAAAATACCTGAGTGGTTACAGTTTATTTCTAGAGGATTTTTGATGGAACCAAGTAAAGAATTATTTGAAGCAGCTCAGAAACTAGATGCAGAGTTTTTCTCTATGCATGGAAAATTATTATGTAATGAAAAAAAGATTTTCCTAACACTGGCACAGAGAACAATGAATAAATTAGGAAATACTTCAATTCCATTTGAGGTGATTCTCTGCTTAAGTAGGACAAGAACTTACATCAGGTTACGAGATCTGAATCGACAAATTAGTTTTCAAAATTGTCAAAGGAAATTAGATAAGAAGCTATGCAAATTTACAAATCATAGAAAATAACTGAAATACCTGTACCGGAAATTCCAGAAGTCTCGATAGACGCCGAGGCGCCATAAAAGATTAGTCATCGGCGATAAGAAACGAGAGCGGATGTGACGTGTTCGTTCCGGGAAATAGGACGTGTTTGTTCGAGAAGATTCTAGAACATTCGGGAGAATCAAGCGTTTAAGAACTTTCGAGAATGATGGGCGTTTGCTATATAAGCAAATCGGCTTGTGTTTCGAGTTAGTTATGTTATAAATTATTAGTGATAAATAATAATTACTGTTATAAATGAATCCATTTCAAGACTTTTATAAATTTGTTGCTAGTTAACTGCAAATAAATAAATAACTTAATTAAACATACGTAACGTACCTAACAAATACTTTTTTACATTTTATATATATCGGAATTACATTTACATACTATTGTATCGGTGTCATATTATAACAGAAGCATTCGCCTAGTTCGATACTTTACATTTTTTAGAGACTAATTTTAATGTATCCAATTAAATAACTTAAAATTACGACATA